TATAACAGGGTCACCTCTAGTCGGATGTGGCTCTTCACCACGCACGGACGGACTTGAGCAAGGAGAGGCTCTTGGATGCCTAGCATCTGCATTGCGCTTCACTTACTCCTGGGTGGGTGAGGGCCAGTGTCCAGCATAGTCAGACTATGATGGTGAAAGGTACTACCTCTCCCCATTACCTTAACCCCTTATTATTATTATTATTATTTTTCCATCTATTCACCACTTTATGGGGTACGTACTTCCATGTACCCTAGACAGACCTTCTCCCTAAGGTATATAGTGCAGCAGCTATTTCCGGAATACATATTGTTTTTAACACGTGCTACATGTGTTATATAATTTATTGTTAGATATGACTATATATTTTATATGAGCGTCTTTCGAATGATGTATGAAGATCCTAAATTGGCAGTTTTCTGAAGTTCCCCGATATTGTGTTCGCCCGGAATGTTGGCCAAATATTTTCTGAGTGACTTGGAGACAGTTCCAGTTGCTCCTATAATTATTAGGATTACCTTATGACTCAAAGCTGCAGTACGTAAGAGGCCTTTCACATGCGGGCTTGCTGGCTACTCTTGTTTCCAGGATGGGTGTGGGTTAGTGTCAAGATGATACTGTACGTAAGTACTCAATACAGCAACGCGTTTTGATCTACGACAGTTACATAAACAGATACTGAGCTCGTGTATGTCGTAGAGAATTTCAACGAAAATTACGTTTTGGCAAATATTGCAGTTGCCACCATGAAGGTGATGGCAAATAAAATGTTTGCCGTAACGTTGGTTAATACATTCGTCGCGGCTTACGCCCAAAAGCCGAAGTTATACATTGAATTTCAGCCGCGAAGACCTAAGGGCAATAATCCCGTGCTGATATTCCTGCAAGGTCTCCTTTCATTCATTATTTGCTTCATAAATTCGGCTATTGGATAAGTTGATGATAATAATAATTATAAAAATAAAAGACTCCACGTATTAACTAAAGAAGATCACCGGGAAAACTAATGCAACAAGCTGACGTTTTGGTCCCCTCAGTAAGAACTGTTACAGAATTACTGAAACTTCGCTCCTGTAAAGTAGCACAAGCGTATTCATTGCGACCAAGACTTAGCTACAAGAAAAAAAAATTGCAACTAGTGTATCGAGTCAGCGAATGAAGGTACATTTTACCCACAATTATTGTTCTTGCTGGCGTAGCCTGGTTTTATTTAAATGGGTGTGTAAACGCGCGTCATGACCGATACTGGTTCTCGGAAAACCCTAGAATCCTTCCGAAGTTGGTGTTTGGTGTGGAAGGAGTGCAAGGCGAATAATTGGCCCTATCTTTTATGGATACGCTTAACTTAGACAGGTATACCAATTTGATTTTAACAGGTTTTTCACTGAGTTAACAGAGGAAAGACCGTGCGGTTACTTTTTAGCAGAGACGGCAAAGGCGCACAACGGTGACGTGTTTTGTGATAATTATTAGTGAAGGTTTATGGCCAGTTCGATTCCCATACCTCATGTTGTTCGATTTTTATTTGTGGGGTAGCTTGAAAGAGAAATTCCCACGCATTACATGAATTGGAAGAAATATATCGGATTTCGTCACAGGCGCTGCAGCGTATTGTCGTGCTATAATTTATGTTTACTCCTCCTCTGGACCGGTGAGTTTATCTCAAAGCGAGTATTATTTTCTTGTACCGTGTTCGCATTGACCCGGTTAGCGGTAGGAGAGTCAGGACTGCCCGGAGTACGCCAGCGCGCTAAGCGGTTCGAATACAAAATAACCTTGAAATTAAAATTGATAGGTTGTGATCGAATGGAGTTGTACAGTGTATTCCTGAATGAGCTTCACGATTTTAATATTTTCTTACATAAGCCGGCGTAGCTCAGTCTGTATAGTGAATAGCTACGGGCTGGACGACCGGGGTTCGATCCCCGAGGGGGGTAAAGAATTTTTCCTCTAGCCTCTGCGTCCAGACCGGTTCTAGGGCCCACCCAGCCTCCTGTCCAATGGGTACCGGGATCATTTCTCTGGGGTAAAGCGCGGCCGGGGCTTGATGCTGACCACTCACCCCCATCTAGTGCCGAGGTCACGAATTAGTAGGAGCTATACCACTCTCCTCCCAAGCGCCTGCATGGCGTATAGTGGGACAGCTTACTGAGAGCACGTCAAGAAGTTATGTTTGCAACGTATTATGCATTATTTCCGCTAGGCCGAGCATGTTATCACTAAATAACACAGACTACCGACACAGATCGGTAACTCGATTTTAAAAGCTGGCAACTTGCGTGCCCTGTCATGTTTTTCCTCCATACATAACACAATGGTGGCGAGATACTGGTGGCCGGTTCACAGCAACGTTTTCCATGTTTGGGCTAAAGTGAACTTGGTTGCACAGTCTTACATTACTGATAGCCATTAAATGGAGAAAGTTGTTTAAGTTGTTTACTCAGTGACATCAGACTTTCTTTGAAGAAAATACAGAAAATTAATGTATATTAGTCTGGAATTCCCTGACTGAAATATATTTTACCAGTGTAATCTATAGGGTCTTTTTAAAAAGACGCCACACTTAAATTGCATATAATTACCTAACTTCAGGGTGGAGCACGAAATTTATACCCTTTTAAATCCTGTACAAAATCTATATTTCCTACAAAAGTGTTGCGTTTCGCATACATACTAAAGGACACAAGCATGGGAGGTTGTTCTCACTGCAGAACATGTTCGATGTGACTCCCATTCTGCCTCATCACCTCTAGACGAACTTGTACGTTTGTGTTCTCTGAAAGTGTGCAGCACAGCTGGATGATCATGGCTCTGAGTTCCATCAATGAACCAGGTTTCCTTGAGTACATGAAGCCCCACAGAAAGAAATCACATGGATTTATGTCTGGGCTGTGGGGTGGCCGGCCCTGTCCACAATCATGGCATCCAGGAAAACACTCTGGGACCAAAGCTTTCGTACAGAAAATCAACGACCACGTTAGAGTGTGTGGCCTGGCTCCATCTTGCGAACGCCGTGAAATCCCCAGTTCCCCTGATGCTGTTCTCGTCGATTTACGCGGGCTTCGCTTCGTTGCCACTCTGAGGGCTTCCGTGTTCTCCGGAGTACGGACACTTGGAGCGCGAGGCCTTTTTCGCTCCAACACTGAACTCTCCTGTTCGAACTGCGTCTTGAGTCTTTGTGTTTGTTTAGCAGGAGCCCACCTGGTACCGAAATGCGTACGAAAACGTCTCTGTGTTACAGTAACACTCTTGAGTTTCGTCACTGACGCTGATCACTGCTGCCAAAATTTCTTGTTGCAGTTCTCCGATGTGTGCGGATTGTTTTTGTAAACGTTATCTGTCTAAAGACCTATAAGAAATAATCGCGTGGGTTCAGACCTGGAGAGTGTGGGGACCAGGACCACTCGTGTTTGGCCGAGCTCCATCCTATTAAAAAAATGTTTCTCTGAAATTGACATACATTTATTGGAGAAAGGAAAGAGATTCGACTTGGAGGACATGGGGTAACGATTATAATTCACATAGGCCCATCAGAGCGCACACCACCATGCATTTTTTTGGGATGCAACGGCTACATAAACAGGTCAGTGGGCTTCCTTATAACATGATGGAGGCCGCCTACCTGGACTGGGTACTACTGCTGTAGAATTGTCGGACACGTGAAAATTAAGCTTTGGACCATCGTTTCGGAATTAACGAGCTGACTGCATGGGAGACGACTTATGGTGGTAGTGGATGGAGTGGAAAATATGTGTGATGAAATTTCTCCAAAATATTGGAGCAAGAACTATTTTCTATTCAGTTTGAGTCACTTACTTATTCACTAATTTATGCGTATTTGAATGATTTTCGGGGCTGCCTCGTTTCTTGCACACAACTTAGGCACCTTCGGACACAACGTGTGCTATTGTTTTGACGAATTGTCGTTGATCAGTAAAATGTGTTGTCGAGAACGCTGGAGTCAGTTTTAATTTCACTAAACAACCAGTAATGAACACATATTTATTCAAGGTATCATGATCAGGATGTTTACGGTATGTTCTGATCGCATTAGTTTACATTAAGCAAATTTATTTTAAGTGTGGTTGTTTAATCATCTTCGCTTGCGATAGGCTGAGGTCTTTTATTGAATGTATAATTTGGTGTTAAATTGCACTTTTGGGCTTTGTCCGTCGTCTATATTATAAAATTACAAGGTTTCCAAAGTTTCATTCTGCTTTCATCATCGGGTAAAAATGCAGGGTGGGGGCAGAAAACCAATCTGTTGGACCCCCTGATTGATCTAGCTTAAAGAACTCTGTAATTTACACGATGGACAAAGTCCAAGAGAACGATTCAGCACAATTTGACACATCATCAGAAACCTCTAAACTTCGAATATAACTTATCATTAGTATTACGGATCGTAGTTTCCGTTCAGTCTTTGACCACATGAACATTGCGAACGCTGGTTTTTAATCTCGCTCAGGTAATGTATGTATACTCACATTTATTGTTATCTTGTTTTGTTCTGCGTGGGCACAGGCTTGCGACAGGCCACTCCTCTACCATAGGGACCTTACCACTTGTCTGAAAGATTCATGGTTTCAAAATTTAAAGGAGTGTAGGTTGGAGGGTCTAATCCACGGTCCTTAAAAAATAAATTAATGATATATCGCTTATTCACTTGTCAGTCGCACAGAACAATAACACAGTTGCATTCCGTCCCAGACAGTTTTACCAAAGAAATGTAAGCAGTTGAAAATAATGTGTTTGTAGCCTAAGCGTCTGAACTTACAAAGTGAAGACCGCGAACTTTCTTGAAGTATGAACGTTGAAATACCAGCCTGGTTGTACTGCCGTCTCGCAATGTGTCGGCATCCGCCCTCATGTCCGTATCGTATGTTTACTCTAAATAACATCCTTCAATCTTAATTTTATTCTTAATAAATAGTGATGACTGGTAAGAATATGGACACCGTACTTGTACCAAAAGTGTTTATTTCATGTTGTCTGTTATGATAATGTTACGTGCAGAATTTTATAAGTTTCTGATTTGGGGTTCGTCCTTATCCCTCCATTTCTCTTTGGCTCCACCACCGATAATACATACTGCATTGCATGTTGATCACGATACGATCAGCAGTCAAGTTTAAATCGTTGGATCATTTAGATTATTGGTATTAAAAATAATTTAATGAAAACTTACGAACTGTTAGGTGGAACTAGTCTTGTTGTTCTGGGTTGTAACGCCGTGTGGATTTGTCAGGTAGATACCAGGGGCCAGCTCTGAAGGTGGATTTTTACCAAAAATGAGTTAATTCGGGTCGTTCATAAAATACACCACCAGACTAGATGTAGACTGACGGACTGCTGTACTCTCATAACCCATTTGCGTTTATATATTTTTACGCTGCATCACACAGGAATAGGAGTTGCATGTTTTTACAGTACGTGTCATACGTTCCCACGCTAGCTGCACGCATGTCTGTGATGTGTGACAAAGTTAATTTTTCCAAACAATGGAAAGTAGCCCATTGTATCTAGGGAGTGCTCTTTTTAAACTAATATTCTGTCATTAAGTTTCCTAGTTTATTTTATTCTTGTAATTTACGTTAACGTGAACCCTAATTACTGCTGTAGCTTCAGGTTTGTGTAAATGACCTTAATACCCATAATACAGTGACTTCTGTTATGGTACATTTTATTTTACTTTGGAAATTTTATGTTTAACATTCTAATAATCTCATAAAAGTAAGAATTTTAGCAATTTCATATAGCCATACTCTTTCACCAGGTTACCTGCTAGCGTGGGTAACCTGTGGCTCAGTCAACCACTGAACAATATCATAGGTTGCTGAACACCCCCAATGTTCCCTCATCCTTATTTTCAATTTCAGACCAGTTCCCCACAATTATTTCTGTAATAACGTGAGTATATACTCGATTGGGTGCTCAAAATTTTGTTGTATGTTTTCCATAATGTTTCCTGCGTCTGCATTTTTGATAGATAGAAGAAGGTCTGGTTAAGTTGTATGTGGTCAGTTTGATTTTGACAAAGGAGATTCGTGGAATTTAAAAGCGTAATTGGAGTTGAAGAAACACACTGCAGTTCCACTACATTTGTTGCTTTATTCTTTGTGCCAGCAATTTGTTATCAGTTGTGTTTTAAATCTTTTGAGGTTACCTGCTAGGTGAATTTTTAATTCAAACCTCAGCATCTCCTGAAGTTTTGAAAAATCAGTACCCATGCCTCCATGTTTGTGTATTATGGGATATATGTAAACATTTATGGATTTCATTATTTTACAACTTTGCATATGGTTCAGTATTCAACTTTTATGAATACAGTTGTGTCTTTATGTTCTGTAATAGTAGGGACTGTGTTTAACGGGTGAATATCTTCACATGAGGACTCTGTTCCATGAAAGTGTTGTTACTTATTTTTATAGACCGATTAGTTCTGAAGTTAACAGGATCACAGTTAATCTGATACTACTGGAGTATGTATGTTAATTCTGAGGTGAGAAACATTTTTCTAAGTGGTTGTAATAATGAAAGTTGTCATGATGTAACATGGCCAACATTTGTTCACAGAGCTCCCAACCTCCAATCGCTGACCTGTTTGTAGATCTGCAGGATGGTAACCGCCTGTTGTCACTTCTGGAGTTGCTCACAGGAAAACAATACGTGAGTTATGTGTGTTAACAAGTACCAAACATATCATGCAGTAATTCCATAATCCAGGTGAATAAATGTATGACACATTATATTATAAACTACTTAATGTTGAATCTTCAGCAACATTTTAATTTCTCATATTTTTTTCCACCAAATATGTTGTTTGATGTAACAAATGAAATTTAAGCCTCCTGTGATTGATGATGAGTGATAACACCCATGGTGTGAGGGAACAACAACTTGTTCTTAAAATGAGCAGTTTCTTATGTGATCATAATGAGTACATTTGTCCATAGAATGTATGGGACTTATTGGTTATTAGAGGAGGGATTGAACATACCTAGTGTTGTAAGATTTGAGGTTTTCACAGCGGTGAGTATGAAGATTTCTGTCTTCTGGGTTGTTGCGCTGTGTAGTCTGGTCGATGTTTACCAATGTTCCAGAGGTCATACTGCCTCTGTCATCAGGGCAATGAATATGCCAATAGGGTGTGTGGGGCTAGGTTTATAGGTGCCGGAATGTGAATGGAGTAGCCTGCCCCGAGCCAATGGGATCTATAAACCTAGCCCCACACACCCTATTGGCATATTCTGCCCTGATGACAGAGGCAGTATGACCTCTGAAACGTTGGTAAACATCAACCAGACCACACAGCGCAACAACCCCGAAGACAGAAATCTTCATACCTAGTGTTTTTATATATGTGAAGGTGTATGTTTGTCTAATTTTGATTTTCACTTGTTAACGTTTAGAAACGAGAGAAGGGTAATATGAGAGTACATCATTTAAACAATGTCAACAAAGCACTGCAGATCTTGGAGCAAAACAATGTAAGTATAACAGGTTAGAGGAATCACATATCTGAGTCTGTCACTAATTGAGATGTGATATATACAAATATATTTTTGCTTTCACTTATGATGTTACACAGCAAAATGCATTTCAAATAGACATTTTACACCCAGGTAAGATGACTGTAAGTTAAAGAAACAGAGAAATAAACAACATGCCCTAATAGGATCCCAGGACTTTTGTGTTATAAAGAGTGCAAGATGACTACATTGTTTTCAGATATATTCAACAGATAACTTCCTATTTCACTTGGTAAAACAGTGTTTCCAGGTTCATAACAAAGTTTCCAAAATGTCTTATGGACAAAGGACTTTATAAATATTATTATTGATTATCTCACCACAGCAAGTTTGTAAATATGTGCACTTGCACATCTTAATATCTGATTTATAATGATATTTTTGGTCCTGTGAGTCCATCTTTAGGTCAGTTCTGAAAGTATGAGAGTCCCATCTCTGAAATGTCATGGTTTTATTCATTTTATTTGATATTGGACGATGGATAATGTCCAGAAAACAGTTTGCTCCATCTTTAGGTCTTTATTTTTTCCACAAACCAGCCATTTGTTGCTGATGGCCACTAAGCAATGATTTACCCTTATTCATCCAATTTAAAGTCTGAACTATGAATGTTAAAATAATTTCTTTTAGCACCCCAGTTTTACTGATAAGGGTCATTGTCCTCTCCTTTCCAGTCTGGCTGCATAGTCAGTGCTTCCATATGTTACCTTGAGCATCATTAACTCTCTCAGAAACTTCATTGCAGCTTATAATGTATCGTAGTATCCCTCATTCTTCCTTTCTTGCACTCCAAAAATCAATGTGTTATTCTTCCTATGCCCTTCTTCCAGCTGACTTATTTTGCTGTCCATCATCTGTTGTCTTTCCTCCCATCCTTTCACTGTCTAACTTGCTTGTATCATCACAGTTAGTTTATCAGATTTTGCGCCTAGGTCCTGAGTTACATTTTTAATTTCTTGGTTGTGAGTCTGTTATAAACTTTTAATCCGATCAGTCTTTCCCTGATTGACTGGTGGTTCGAGATTCAGCTGCACACCTCTAGTCACCAACAACACCATTAACACCAGTCCCAGAAACCAAATTTGGATTTCCATCGCCATTGTCTTGCAAACTAATGTGTATTTTGTCATGAAGGTGCCAATTCTGATCTGATAGGTTTCAGTACCAACACCCATACTCCTGCCACAGCATGAAAACACATCTGTACTCTGCCATAACTAGAATTCAACTCCATGTATGGATGGATTACTGCAAATTATTTTCTTTGTAGTTTATCTGTGAACTTTTATTTGTTAAACCATAAAATCTCTAAGAATTTTGTTTATGTGTTGGAATAAAATGTTATTCAATAAAGGGGAACCTGATAATTGTTGGTCATGATTTGGCCATTTATATATTGCAATAATTATTATAAGTAATGATCTTTCAGTTTACAAGTAACTGATATCTCCTATAGTAATTTTGACATTTTGGTAATGTTGCACTGGATGACAGTATGGGATAAGGATCTACAAAAAATGAAAAATAATATCTCTATTTGCCATACTGCCAAACACTGTGACACTGCTTTTATATTTGTGTTGTCTGTGATTAACCTGAATATCTAATTGTCACATTTCTCTGTCTTTTTCCCACTTTCTGTGCTTTTTCACTGTCTCATAACTACTTTTTGTTGACTGACTTGCCATGTTTGCCTTATAATATTATGCACCAGGTGAAGTTGGTGAACATAAGTAATAATGACATAGTGGATGGCAATCCCAAGCTGACCCTAGGACTGGTGTGGAGCATCATTTTACATTGGCAGGTGCGTAGTTTCAATACTGTTGTATACTTCTGCATCAAAAGTTTGTATTATGGCAGTGGTCACCAACCTTTTTGTGCCTACGGGCACATTTGAGAGTTTATGAGATCGTGGCGGGCACCAACCAATTAACAAAGCCAAATTTTCTCTTCTCTGGACAAATAAGATATGGACACCAAATAATACGCAAAACAACACGACGTTTAATGATACAAGAAACCACGCAATCAAAAATACGTAGTTTTATAAGTACAATTATTATTACTGAAGTGGGAAGTTAGTGTGATGTTTGGCACTGCATTTCATCGGCCAGTTTTTCAAATTTGGGAGTGTAGGATGATGTTGTTGCTCGCAAACAATCATCAAGATGGGCATCAGTAAGTCGAGATCTGTGCTTTGATTTTATAATGTTCATGGTTGAACGGCCTTCATTATTCAATATAACCTCTTCCCGTAACAACGCGGGCACCCAAAAGAAGCCTTGGCGGGCACCGTGTTGGGGACCACTGGCTTATGGTATATGTTAACACATTCAGACCTACAGTCAAACAGCATTCCTCAGGTAATTTCCACAATTGGAATGTGCAGTAGTTGTTCATACAGTTTGTATTAACAGTTTTTGGGTGGCTGTCAAAATAAGACAGTATTGAAAAGGAAAATCTGACTGAAGGATTTGTGAAGGCACTTTCATAAACATGTTTGTGAGAATTTGTCTCTGCTGCAAAAGCACGCACATCGCAAGTAGTCTGATGAATTTGTGGCCAGGACTGAATGTATTAATGTCATATACCTTGTGTATGTAGTAATGAATCTGTGGGTAGCAAACAAAAACACATGATTTGTAATAGTACAGTTCATAGTGAATGGTTTCAGAACATAATAAGTGAGGTACTTTACAGGGTACAGAGAAAACAGACATGCTGTAATGTCTGTTGAAAATAATATTTGTATGTTGTAAGTTGATAGTATGACAATCTGATGGTCCAATGCCAGTACACCATAAAGTGCTGTTTATCAATAGATTGCATGACAAATCATGTGCCTCTGAACCTTTTCTTTTCAATTACATGCAATACATATGCTCACTCTTTTTTCCATGTGTGGAATATCCTCATAGTTAAATAGTTTTGTCAATTTCTGATGCACTGATTAAACTTCCTGATCTGCTTATTCTGTGCATTTGTTTTCATATTGTGTAAATTGAACTTGGGGCAAATGATAGGCTGTTGGTGGACAACACAGAAATTAGAATTGTTGTTGCTTCAGACTGACGTTTGCACATTTGAGAAACGTGCCATGTGTTATTTAAAATAATAAAGCCAGTTATTACATACTGGAAAGTCAGGTTTCTTAACAATAGTGCAAAACATAAAATGCACATATAAATATCTGCAAATATTTTATTGGTATGGAAAATTTTAAGGACTAACATTATACAGGGATGGCCAATAAGTTGCAATTGATCAACAAGATATTTAACAGATTCATCATGTGTACAAAAATCCCAAGAGAAAATATATGTTTTAATGACTTTGTGTATGGCATCTGATGAATATGAGGGGTGGTTGGGAGATTACCGGAAGCAGGAGTGCTAAGTGAAGACCTCCAAGTTTGTGGGGGATTTTCCTATCATGAGTGTGCTACTATAAACATATTTTACACAACACGGTGGTCTAGCGGTTAGAACACTAGCCTTGTAAGCCTGGGGTCCGGGTTCAATTCCCGGTGGTGCTCAGATTTATAACTTGTGTTGGGCAAGGCCATGGTCTAGGCAACACAGAGTTTTCCTCTGGGGGACTCTCAGATTTCTCTGTTGCATCCCAACAATTACTCCATTCACACACAAGAAGGCAGTGGCAAACCACTTCTGTATCACCTGCCTCGTAAGCTTGTGAACAGGTCCCTGTCAACCTGAAGAGGATGGAAGGATCCTGTTCTTAATGTCACCAGGGGTCGAATCTGACCCGACGGTAAATAAATAAATAAATAAATAAATATATATATATATATATATATAAACACTTTCTCTTGTATTTTAATGTGTTCTGACTTTGTACATGGCAGATACAAGTTTATTTACCATTGAGGAGTATCTCATAAGCATGTGTCTTTATGGGAAAAGATAAAGTGACCAGAGGTATGACAGAATAAGAACTAACTTTGGTTTGTGTTTTACTAAAGTAGCAGCAGCTAAGGCTAATTTACATAAACTGGAATAGAAAATTCTAACCAGTTCTGTGTTAGATGGAAAATGAAGTGGAGGACAACAAAAAAATATGAAGATGTGGATGTCAGTACTCATTTTGAAGATTCAGTTCTTTGATCACCCAGAAAATCCATGAAGAAATGTTCTGCAGATTTCCAGATACCAGGAACCTCTGGAACCTCCTTATGACTTTGATAAGGAGGGCTACTGTAAATACTGTCCCACATGTATCAGTGAATTAGGTGGTATGTGGTGGCAGGCTTGTGCACATTTTTACATACCTTACCAAACTTGGCATCCCATCCAAACATTATGTTGACTGATGAATGTACAGTATTCAATCTCAGTGCAAGGTTTCAAATGTTTATGTCCAGGCTAAACAAAATCCACGTTTATTTCAAGAAGTAGCAGTGTCCAGCGTATATTGTGATGTGAGTTGGAGTCACCAGTGAACCATTAAGACTGATGAAAGTTATCTGGGGCTGTTGTCCCATTGGCTAATTCCAGAACTTGATAATTAGGGCCTTCCAAAAAGTGTAATTTTTCAAGAAGTTGGGGCACAATCCCATTATGCTACTGACATGCATACTTTGCTGAACAACTAATTTCAAGTTTGGATTGGACAACATAGACCTCTCATCTGGCCTCCCAGAAGTCCCGACCTGACCATTTTTGGTATTACATGAAAGAGCATCTTGGTACAATTTGCATGCACTCTGTTACTGAGTTAAAAAGCAAATTTCAACATATCTTCAGCACCATCACACCAGTAATATTCCAGTGGGTCTCCTGGCACTGTTGATGACAAATACAAGTTTGTGTTTATAATGATGGTAACCATACTGATCAGTTATACTGCTGAGTGCTGTGTTGATTGATGTGACATCTGTTCATTACATAATATGTGGATTGATATTAGTATCATGTTTCTGTAATTAAAGTGTTTCCATACTAAACCCATGCTCTTGTGTTATGCATTCTGCACAATCTGATCATGACTTTTGGCCATCCCCGTATATTCACACTCTGTGTTATCATATGTAGTGTGTACTTGTCTCTGAATATGCAGTAGTTTTTAGGATATTGAAGGCTCATGAGTAATTCTTGGATCTTAAAAATATGTGGTTAAAAATTGTATTTTCAAGACCTTTGCTTATGCTTGTAAATATTTTTATATATACTGGGGTTAAGAATAGTACAATGCATTGACATTAGTGTTGACTCTGTTCTGATCAAAAATAATTGTAGTATATCTAATCAATGTTACAGGTTCATTATCACTTGAAAGATTTAATGTCAGAACTGCAGCAGACAAATTTAGAGAAGACATTGTTAGCATGGTGCCGTCAAAACACAAAGGTAAGTGATGCATCTAGAGCTCTAAGCAAACAAGTTAGGAATATTTATTATTTGCTCTTGTGTTTTAATCTTTGGGTGGTGACACCATGTTGTGATGGGCTTGTTTGCTAATGTTTCAGCCATGTTTCGTTCTCTGTCTTCAGTAAAAGGATTAACCATATACTTGGTCACATGTATAGCAAACCATTGGCTGGCCTATGGTAAAGCCCTGTTATGTGATTTGTTAGTGTCCTGTTGTTATATATGTACTGTCAGATCCACCAATCATAACATACTGTGCCACCAGCTAAAAGCCTGGACACATTAGTATTTTCACCATTGGATAATGATGTTGGAATAAATGGAACCACATTTTATGTATATTGTGCAGTGTTAATCAGCATATCATTAAAACAAGAATTGACCATAAAGTCATTATTAGAAATGGTAAGAATTTAAAATGTAGAAGTGAAATGTTTATTATAATTGTCACTTTTAGACTTCTGGGTTGTGATACTATCAGAATTTGTAGGTAGATAACAGCATATTGGAGGAACATATGTTGCCTCTATTTTAACCTCTGAGGATGAAGTCTGTATGTTCCTCAAAATCACTGGTATGTACCTACAAATCCAAATTCCATTAGAGCACAGAAGATCAAAATTGACATCTTCACTGCCATGTGAACCTCAAATATCATGAAGTGTCAATAATTCTACTTTGGTTACTATGGTGGAATTTATTAACCAAAATTCTTAGGAGACCTACATGTATTTCAGACTGCTACTTTATATAATGCATATTTAACTTAAGGCTTAATAATGATAGGTCATGGATTCAGTGAAGCAGCCAATCATGAACTAATCAGTTTCCTACCAGTTCTTGTCAGAGATCAGTACCTTATATGCAACAACTTGACCATATAATTCGGTGTCTTAGGGGAGGTTAAGATTACATGAAGCTTTTCCTCCACACATTCATGTCTTATTGCTTAGGACCTAATTTTTAGAAGTGTTTTAATTTGCTGTCACACATTAAAATCTGACATTATTTAAGAATATTCAGTTTGGTTTAGTTTTTTGTTATTAGTGTGCTGCATCAACAGTCAGATAGCCAATTACAGGTACAGCACATGAACAAAATAATATACAACTAAATAACAATGCTCAAGTTATCAAGAAATTACATGACCTTAATGAAAGTTAACACATGAAAGGAATAAATTACTTCCAAGCATACTGCAGTGAAGCCAACTGCTTACTAAAATATATCTGTATCTTTGCAGTAGTAAACATTGCTAATAATGTTAATGAAAAATGTAATTATTTAGGATTACCCTGGTGTAGATGTGAAGAACTTCACTACTTCATGGTCAGATGGATTGGCATTCAATGCATTAATTCATCACTGGAGGTCACAGCTGTTTGATTTTCACAACATTGCAAGAAAACACCCTAATGCAAGATTAGAACATGCATTCCATATTGCACAAGAACATCTGGGGATTGAAAGACTTCTGGATCCTGAAGGTATGTTGGTGTTATTAAACATTCGAAGTAGTATGGAAACAATACGTAGCTGCGCGGTCTGAGGCATCATGCTTTGGACCAGTGATACGGAATGCACGCTGGTTCGAGTCTTGGGGAAGGAAATTTCTCATGAGATTTTCGACCGGTGTATGGAACCGGTGCCAACCCAGCATCATGGGGAAATTGGGGAGGTACAATGGGTAGCGTAATCCGGTCATGAAAACTAGCAATGGCTGGGAGTTCGTTGTGCTGACCACATGTCACCCTATATCTGGTTGGATGATCGTTCACCTCTGCTTAGGCATGTGAACGTGAGGCCAGCAGCCAGCTAGTCGGCTTAGGTTCTCAGAGGGCTGTTACGCCACAGATTTATGGAAACAATACACAGGAAACTGGAAGGAAATGCATGAGAAACTTTTCAGTGTTTTGAAAAAAAAAATTGTCTTCATTTAAGTCACAAGCATGGTGCTGTGTTCTTCTTTTCGGGTATGTATAATGAAAGAGGCTAGCTAGAGATTATACATTTTATTGAATGGTTTTGTGTGTTGTTTCTAGCACTTTTTCACCCACAGAAACTTGTTATTAAAAAACACTAATGGATCTCTTAACATACCTAAAAATTATAGATATAAGAAGATGTAAACATCTTCTCTTTTCATCAAGGCATCTGATTTTGAATGTATTGGTGTCATAATCAATGTAACATAGAATTCACTTCTTCTACTTGATATTTGTTGCCGACAGTACCATGATAGTATTAAGGACCTTCTCAGATTGACAGATGAAACAAAACGAATAGCCTGCCATTACCAGTAGGTTCATCCACCAGCTCCACTAACTCCTTCATCAGTGCCCATTTTAGATGACTCAGTATTAAGAATAGGACTAGTATGGTGTCTTCTTCTAGACATTGAGATACTGTTTTAAAAATTTACAATTATCCTACTACTTGTTTGTAGCAGAAACAGTTGATGGAGTATTATTAAATGAAAATGAGAGGAATACCATACCTTGCATTCCTGAGTTTTTAACAAGTCATCTGTCCAAAAGTTGCCTCTCAAAGTGCAGAGTTATATTTTACAGTAATGAATCTAATAACTTCAATGAGTTATGAAAGTTTTTGAGCACTATGCAATATTCCATTGTGTTCCTTCTTTCAGATGTAAATACATCTGTACCTGACAAGAAGTCAGTCATGATGTATGTAATGTGCTTGTTCCAATCTTTGCCTCACTCAGAGATGGATATGAGCCATTTGGAAGCCTCAGTATATTCTGACTCCAGTTCGATAGCATCTCCAGGAGTGGAGGTAAAACCTATTTAATTATAATACCATGATTGTTAATCTTTTTAATCTTAAGGTTTTTTATCTATTTTTTATCATTACTGCTAGAAAAATTATTGACAACATGAAAAATACAATATTTCCTTTAGTTTATATTCTATTTAATCAGAAATAATGACAATTTTGGGGACGGGGCTTTCAGTAACAAAAATATTCAAAGTTGAAGAGGCACATATTAACAGAAAGGCTGAGAAAAACTGTCATAACTAACTCTGTTATGGTGATTTATTGATGTTAATTTCAGTTGTGCCATCTGTGATTTTAGGGAGGCGTTTTTAGTGTTCCATCATCTCGTCCAATCAGCCTTGCTACAAATATTTCTGTAGAGCTTGGTGGTTATCAGGTAGCCTTAGAAGAAGTACTCACATGGCTTCTGGAGGCTGAAGACAAGCTCAGTAATTCCTCATTGATTGAAGGTGGACTGGAATCAGTGAAGGAGCAGTTTCACTCTCATGAGGTAGTTATAACTGTGGATCTGTGTATAAGCAGTATTAATTTTGTTGACAGTGAAATGTTTTGACATTCTGAAGTTCAGTAGATGTTAATACTTTGTAGCACATGTCCTAAACTTGTGTATATTAGAGTTGCAAATGGAGATATGCTAAATCATTTATGGATCAGACACAACCTACAGGTCAGTTCTGTATCAGTTTGTTTAAGTCACTGAGTTGTGATTCAACTCTATTCTTGACATTGAAGGGCTTCCTGCTTGAACTAGCAGGCCATCAGGAGGGTGTTGGAGCAGTACTTGAAGAGGGAGCCCGTATGCTTTCTGAAGGTGGACTCTCTAGGGATGAAGAAGATGAGGTGCGGGTCCAGATGAGGCTTCTGAACTCTCGGTGGGAAGATCTTCGTATTAAAGCCATGGAAAGGCAGGCTAGGTACTCCCAAACATAAAAGAGAGCTTTATGTCTGTTTGTAGTTATCTTGTGTTATCAGAGATTTTATTTAATCACTCGCAGCATGGAACCAGAAAATTTTGTATTTAAAATCCAAGACAGTCAACTGTATGAGGTTCTTTGAGAGAAGAGAGGAAAATGTTTTATTTGCTTTCTACTAGAGATGAGCTGGTAGCTTCTGGATGTGAGCCAAGTACGGCTTGGCTCGTCTCAAACCAAAAGTTTGGAACTTGGATATTTTAGCCTCATAATTAATAATTTCATATAATAACTGTGTTGTGAACATTACTTATATTAACCTTTTTTGTCTGTGTGCTACTGCTTACATTTTATCTAGTGTGTCATTCCTAACAGTAGCATACTACTAAACTTTTAACTCTGGAGTTAGTCTGGTTGCCAGCCCTGTAGTACAGTGGTTTTTATCCCTTATTATTATTGATAAAGGTTAATATTATTTAACCTTCATTGGCCATGCATCGTGTATCATGCATGGTCCAGCTGGCCGTGAATCACACTAGCAATGATTTTATTGTTACTACTGTCTCTATGAAACTGGCTGCTAGTGGGCCCATTGACCATTGATACATGAGAGAGTATGAAGCAGCATTTTAATGATAATGGAAGGGTAAAACTGAAGAACTCTGAGGAAAACCTGTCTCAGTGCCACATTGTTCATCACAAATCAAAAATGGACTGCCCTGGGCATGAACATTGGCCTCCATGGTGAGGAGCCAGCAGCTAACTGCCTGAGTTGACCATATTGCACTAGCATACTGCTGCACTCAAGCCTCAGAGTTAAAGTATAGCCAACAGCCTTTTAGTATGGGGATTTAAAGGTTAGTATTTTTGGTGTACAATATGGAATGAGACACTTGTGGTCTGTTTGAAGATATTATTCCAACTTTGCCTTGAAGGTCTGGGGTAAACCATTATAAACATAAAGATTTCTGTCTTCTGGGTTGTTGCGCCGTGTAGTCTGGTTGATGCTAACCAACGTTTCAGAGGTCTTACTGCCTCCGTCATCAGGGCGATGAAGGAGGCAGTATGACCTCTGAAACGTTGGTTAGCATCGACCGGACTACAGTAGGGCACCGCTTATACGGCGGGGTGGGGGGATTTGATCTTCAATCCACACAACTAAAAGTTTTTCCATGTCAGCAATAAGGCTATCTCTCTTTCTTATGACTTTAGAGTTCATTCGTGTGGCACTTTTAATTTCATTTAACACTTTCTCCTTAGCGTTCACGATGGTACTAACAGTTTGGCGAGCTAGAATTAGCTTACGTCCTATCTCAGCCATAGACATGCCTTGTCCACGAAGTTTAATTATATCTAACTTGGCATTTAAAGTAAGAGGCTTACGACTCCTCTTTTTATCGCTACTACCCTTAGACGTCTTTGTAATTACACTGTAGTAACACAAAAATATTATATAAATATACAGTTTGTAATATCTTTGAAAAATTGCCAGAAATACGTAGACGCGGAGCGCACAAAAGCTGTAAACAGACTGAATCAGCGACGATAAAATGGCGCCGGATGCACTTCTCTGACTCAGCTGTTGAGCGCCGTATTAGCGAATCGCCGTAAAGCGGAGCGCCGAAAAGCGGGGCCCTACTGTACACGGCGCAACAACCCAGAAGACTGAAATCTTCCTACTCACCACTGTGAAAACCTCAAATCTTACATTATAAACATGGTCAGGATAGCTGATCAAAAGACTGAGATTTGAGTGGAGTAGCTCTCAAGTTGTGTATTTGTTTTGTAGAATTCATGAAGCCCTTATGGACCTCCAGCAGAAGCAGATAGACCAGTTGCGGCACTGGCTGACATCCACTGAAGACAGAATATCTCTCATGGCAGAAACTTGTCCCAACCATGAGACTCTTAAACAACAGATAGAACAACACAAACTACTGCAGCGAGATTTAGAGCAACAGCAACTAGTTGTGGATACTCTTTCAAATATGGTCGTGGTTGTAGATGAAAACAGTCCTGAAAGTGGTGTGTATAATGCAGTGAAGTGTTGGTAAAACAAATACAAATTAAAACTTTACTGAAGTGTTCATTTATTTTTCAGCTTTCTGTGTAAACATGCAGCAATGATTCCATTGATTATGATAACTAACTAACTAGATGGCTTACCGAACCCGAAGGTTCATCACCGGATTAACCAAAGCCCTCCACCGGACCCTGTCCTGGGCCATCAAAATCCAGTTTCCTTCAACTCCTATCTCTCATAGATCCCGCCTGAGATTATCCTCCCATCTACGTCTAGGTCTCCCCAGCGGTCTCTTACCCTTAGGCTTCCCAACCAGTACCCGGTGCACACCTCTTGTCCCACCCATGCGAGCTACATGCCCAGCCCATCTCATTCTTCTCGACTTAATCACCCTAACAATACTGGGGGAGGAGTACAGATTTTTAAGCTCATCATTATGCAGTTTTCTCCACGCCCCATAGTCTTCCCCCTTTGGCTCAAATATCCTCCTCAACACCCTGTTCTCAAACACCTGCAATCTGTGTTCCTCCCTCTGAGTGAGAGACCATGTTTCGCACCCATACAAAACAACAGGCAAGATTATTGTTTTGTATACTTTAATTTTCAGGTTCTTAGAAATCAGACGGGAAGACAAAATATTTTGGACTGAGAAGTAGCAAGCATTTCCGGAATTTAGTCTCCTCATAGAATGTTTACTAAACAAATATTCTAAAATTTTCCCCGCAGGGAAATGTATCTAAATTAAAAATTATTTTTTCTGGTTTATCAGCAGGGACGACATAATCTTTGAGACCGTTTATACAAGTAATGCAATGAGGTAGGTGAAAATGTTGTTGTTTTCTGGGCTGTGAAACCATGTGGTCTCCTTCTGTAGGAATATTGGTAGCCACCTACAGTACTACACGGCGTCACAATCCAAAAGACCATAACATTGATTATGATATAGAATCTGATTAAAATTTAAATTTAACAAGTAGAAATTAAGTTTTCTTGGTGAGATATTAGGAAAGTACTTTTTTGTTCCATGGTATGAGGGCAGTTTACTTATTCTGATTTTTAAAGTAAATAAATAATAAGAATAATCTAAAATGTTTTAAACATTGATTTTGATTTAATTTAGGCAAGAAATAGGTAGTAAATAGGTATTATGATAAGGCTAGATTTAAAGTTGTTTATAATTCTTATACAGATGCTCTCTGATTGGCATAGGAAAAGACAAAAATGATTTATTATTACTTTACAAAAGAATAAAGGAAGAAGAGTAGGGGGTGTGCTGTAGTTTTGGAATATACACTTATTCCACTAGTGACATCAATTATTACCTGTGCTTTTTTAATAAAATGTATACTATATAAAATAGTTCTAATAAGAGGTGTAGAACTTAGTGGAAAGTACATATTACATCGTGCATGAACTTCTTATATGATAAGCTACTAGGAAAATTTAATTTTTGTTTTGTGTAAAGTAGAAATAATATTCAAATGATGATAACCAGAATTAAATTCTGAAGACAACTTTTGCTGGAAACTCCAAACATTGGAATTCAGCCATCAGAATCTTCCAAGCAGTTTTTGACATAAAGCATTTGAATGGACATATTGACAGATAACATAATCTCCACATGACATATTTATTTTATGAATCAAAAAAGATACATGACAAAGAACACGTGATAGTGTAAGCAACTTCTATAGACATTTTGAAGTTACGCGTCTTATGTTTTTATGTATTTGATAATTTACCAGAAAATTAAATTTACATAAAAATGTGTATCCAATTATTTCTTACAAGTCTTTTCCAGAATGTTTTTTGTTCAGAGGAATAATTAGTGAGATTCTTGTCAATTATGTTTCATAATGTATATTGGTGTTTATATGAAATGGTTGTTATTATTGTCAGCTGGTAATGAAAATTAGAATTAGTAGATGGATCTAATGAAACTTCAAATATAATAGTTTGTCAAAATACATCCACTTTTTATAGACTTCAAATATACAAATAAGTGGCTAGGACAGACATACACACCTCCCTTTTGTAAATTAACTTTATTTTCTCTGTGCAAAGAGTACATACTATTAAACTATTTGCTGATGTCACAAGCGTCATAATTTCAAATAAAAATTTGTGCAAAGAGTACATACTATTAAAAGTATTTGTTGAAACTTCATGCAGAAGCAGTCTTCTTTACTTATAGCATATTCTCAAATGGAGGACCAGCTGACAGCTCTTGGTGAGCGGTGGGCCCATATCTGTCATTGGACAGAGGAAAGATACAACAGACTTCAGAACCTTGCAGTGAAGTGGAATCAAGTGACAGATGAATTCCAAGCAATACAGCAGTGGCTGAACAACAAAGAGACACAACTCAAGCAGCTGGAAGCCAATCCATTGCTAGAGATTGGTGAAGTTCTTGATAGGATAAAGAAACTTCAGGTAAGTTCCATACAGTGCAGCTATGACTGAGCAAGGAGACAATTCAAGCAAGTGGAAGCCAGCACACTGATGGAGATTGATGTAGTTCTTGATTGGGTAATAACAAGTTTGAAGTAAGGCCAGTAGTATGTCTTTGGTTTGATGGCAGACTTAACTTAAGCAGATGTAATCCAACACCTTATGCACATTGGAGACGTTCTTGTCGAGAGAAAATGCTTCAGGTAAGGCAAGACAATCAAGCTGTTGCTAGACAATGGGAGACAAAAGAAGCAAATGGAAGCTAATTCACAGCTGGAATTTGGCAAAGGCCTTTAGGAGATAAAATGAAACCTCTTAGCTGTGGCCACTACAAACAGCCATGTCTTCAATCAGAAATTCCAATATGAACTGCCTTCCTCTCCATGACACTTAACATACATCTTACTTTGTTTGCTGAGGTCAGTTTAGGAAAGAATAGTCTGTCTCATAACCATAAATTTACCTGCAGACCAAATGATCTGTTTAACAAACATTTTGGGGAAAATTATATTCATAACAATGACATTTTGTTGTGATAAAAGCATAAAATTTGTGTTTAGAAATTTCAATGCATTTTTGTTGAATAAATTGCATTAATTGAATTAAATAAATGTTTGTAATGGTATTCTTGGGTGTAAAGAAAAGCATTCATCCTGTTGTCACTAAGTATAGTAGGATGAGCTGTCTAATATTTACACCATTATGTAAATTGTCCATCATCTAATGCTTGTGTAAATTATTATTTATTAGCTGTGCATTAAGGGTTGCACATGGTCCAACTGGCCATACATCACAGTAGCATACTGGCTAATGGTTTAAACTGAAAGTTAAAGCCCATTTGGCAGTCTTATAGTACATCTTCTATATATATGTTATTATGCATTATGCCCAAGCACATGTACCAAAGTATTCTGATGAAGTATGGTATGGACCTCATGCCATTGGGAAACACCCAGGAGTCAGATTTTAATTTTAATTTGCCATTTCACATCATAACACATACTGACAACTTCAGCTATTTTCCTGCTGCTTTGTTCCCTGTCTGCCAATTTTTTAATCAGATTCATGATTAATACCAATTTTGTAATCATTATCACTATATTATACTTATGAAAGATCTCATCACCACCAGTTGCTTTATTCTGCACCATGTTGTGCCTTGGGGAATTACAAGTTGAAAGATTTTCTCAGTGTGCTTTAATCCTAGCAACAATTGTCATCAAAATATTTTCATATTTTAGTTCACTAAACTGACATTTAGACTACAGAACATGAAGAGATTTATGTGCTTGACATGTTATAAATAACACTTTATATTGTTTAAACTGAGCTTTTATTTTTCAAACAGGATTGTAGGTTTACTGTGTTACATTGAAATTTTATTACAGTAATGTTTGTTTTTGTGAAATATTTTTCAAGCATGGTACTTTTGTAAGGGATAAAAGTATTTTCATTATACTGAAATTTAGTTATACTTGCATTAGTTTTACTAAGACTTTACTATATTGTGTAAATTTTAGAATGTTAGAAGGGTGTGTTCTGTGTTCAGTTTTACCTTCCATACAATAAAGCATTTGTGATTATTCTAAAATAGATTTTTAGCAATGAGGTTGGTTTATCATACTCCATGTCAGAAGCCCTGTATTTCATTCTGACTTCTATCACAGGAAATTTTTATAACTAAAAACAGAAGTTCATTATTGATTTGGGAAATAATGTATGCTGCATCTTATGAAGAAATGGTAAAATTGTTAATAAAATTGTATGCAGTAATTCTGTAATTGGTGAAATAATTTTCTGTCATAATATATCTTAGAGGAAACAACTTCTTTGCCAAAATTTCCACCAGGGTTCAGTATTATGTTGTAAAGTACACCATCTTCTTCTCCAGTCACTATTTTTTAACTCAGATTTCAAATATGACTGATAATCTATTTAGCTACAAGCACATTCTGATAAATGTGTCCAAGTTGAAGACAGCAGGCAATTCTTTCAACATCATATTACATACATTAGTAATTTATGCCCTTGATTAAACTCTATTCCTTCTAGTTTGTGAGTTTGTATTTTATCGGCATGTAGAAATCTGTTTTCATAATAGTAGAATTTTCTTCTGATAATTACATTTTGGATTCTTGTGAAATTTTTAATTTCTCTTTTATTGAAGAAGTCTGTATACCAGTAATGCTGCTTATTCTTAAATTTTAATCTTTGCAGCTCATAGTATAGTTTCATCGTATCTTAATTTTCATATTTTATAGTTGAAATTGAGAGACAGAAGAGGTAATGTTTTATGTAATACAATCTTGAAATTTTTTTAACTAAATTTTGTTTCAGTTTATTACATAGCAGGGTATTAAAGATCAGAATGTTGCTTACAAAACTTGAACTGTGATTAACATGCTATTGGTTCTACATATTTCTTTGAGTTCTGTTCATCTCCATCTAATTGTTATTGTTATTATTACAGGTCCTTAGGCTTGAAATGGATGTACAGCAAAAAAAAATTCTAGTCCTTCAGGATTCTGTACAGCAACTGTCTGGTTCTGATTTGTCTAGTAGCAACAGTATGCTAGAAAAAGTAGAAAATCTACAGGATCGTTGGGATGCACTCATTCAGATAATGGAGGCCCAGGGGCAGAGGGTAAGGTTGCACTTTGGTTCTTGAATTGGGAACTGACTTATACATATTATGCTTCAGTTATCATCTGCATGGAAGTCTTCTAAAAGAATTGCTTTTGTTTGATATGAAGCTTGCTTTTGTTCCATTCAGATATCAAATTCTGGTTTTGAATTCAACATGACACCAACATCAGGAGAAGTATTCACTGCCAGGGCACTAGGACAACAGAGGGAAATGAATGAAACAGTCACAACAGTTACCAGTCAGAAAGTGAGCTTCATGTGTTCTCTTAGTTTAAGATACAATATATTATCTTGGTTAATGTGAGGGGCAGTTTTAAACTGTCCTAATTATTTGTAAATAATGAAGCATATTTATTGCTTGCTTGTCAAGGCTGGAGCTCCTTGGGGGTTTGGTCAAGTTTTTAAAATCTTGAGTAAGAAACTAAACCAAAACCCCCCCCCCCCCAATGGGGGTTAAAACACTTGACCAACCCCTCCTCGGGGGGGCGGTGTTGGTTGCGTTTTAAAATCTTGAGTAAGAAACTAAACTAACCCCCCAAATGGGGGGTTAAAACATGGGGGAGTTGGTTGAGTCTTAAAATCTTGAGTAAGACACTAAACTAACCCCCTCTTTGGGGGGGGGTGTTAGTTTAGTGTCTTACTCAAGTCATTTGTTTACTCAGCATTGTTGTGTTGGTACAACAATGCCGAGTAAATAAATATAACGTAACATTGTTTGATGACGTCATTTTTTTTGACGATGACGATAAATCACAAATTTTTATAGTAGATCACTCTAAGAAGTAAGTCTTTGGTGTAGAGACTTTTGTTGGTTCTTATATGGGCTTATGATATATTTGTGTGATGGTGTAGAAATTGACAATATTTATTTAACCTTTATCAGTGGTGTGTTGCAGCTTATACATTCTACAGCTGACCATGTGTCACACTAGCATAACTATAAATTGTTAATCCCAGATTTATTTTGGTTAGCACCCCCTTAATATGAAGGTTTTAATTTCCTATTCTTGTGTGATAATGATCAGGGAGAACATGGTAATTGTTGTAACACTAAAAGCTACATATTCTTCATGTAATAATGCCATTAATGAATTAGTTGAGTTATACATCATGTACAACACAATTTCTTAAGATTCACTTGGAATATGGAAGTTTAGAAATGTCTTTCACCTCAAATTTTAAGTTTTTTTTAACTCTTTAAGTTTCTTGTATCATTATTGCTGTGTAATTCTTTTTTAGATTGAACTTATAACAATATAACTATTTAAAAATTTCATGACTTTCAAACCTCTGTTTTGCTCTGAAATTCAGTCTTTCCAGGCAGATTATTTACACATTTGACTACTGAATCCCTCCCTTTTCACCAGTTTCATCATAGTGAATCAAAGAAGCGGCGTGTTGGAAGTAAAACTCGTCTGGAATTTGAAGAAGCTTTAATTCAGGTCAACTCTTGGATGGAGTACATGGAAAGAACTTTATCCCTCAGGAGAACAGAAAATGAACAGGGAGCATTTGATGGCCTCAGTGTGGAGGAACAGCTTGTGATGTACAAGAAAATGGAGACAGACATTCAGAATCACAAGGAAGAAGTGGACAGGGTAGTTTCTCTGGGGAAGCATCTCGTGGAGGAAATTAAAAGTGGTAAGTTTATGTAAAAGTGAAATTACAGCTATCCCACTACACTCCATGTAGGAGCTTGGGGGGAGTGGAGGTACAGCTCCAACTCTTTCTTGAGCTTGGCGCTAGATGGGGGTGAGTGGTCAGCGTCATGCCCTGGCTGCACTTTACCCTGGGAAAGGACACCGGTACCCATTGGACAGGAGGCTGGGTGGGCCCCAGAGCCGGTCTGGATGCAGAGGCTAGAGGAAAAATCCTTTGCCCTTGTCGGGGATTGAACCCCAGTCGTCCAGCCCATAGCTAGTCACTATACTGACTGAGCTATCCCGGCTCATGGCAAGTTTATGTGCTTCTGTTTATTTGTATGATGTTTGTTTCTTGTTTCATGTTGTATTATGTTCTTAGCTTAGATGTTATTGTGGATTCAGATATTAGTATAGATTTTCCAACATATTACTTTGGGACAAGCCCAAAGGAACATTAATTTTTTTATGGAAACTGTTGAGCATGCTTGGTGATAAGTATGCTTCTTGTTTAGCTCTTTAGCTAAGCATGAGAGTGAGATTTGGGGTTCTTGTTGTGGCAAGTAGGAAGATGGCTATCTTCTGAATTCTTGTGCTGTGTAGCCTTGTAGAAGTTTACCAACATTTCAAAAGTACTTGCTGCCTGTGTTATCAGGTCACTCATTGCCCCATTGATGGAGGTAGTAAGCACCTCTGAAAAGAGCAAGAGTGTTCATACCCAGATTATTACTAAGAGTGATAACACAGAAATAAGTTTGCCTTGGTATCTGGATGTAATGTATAGTGGTTTGAAAATGTTTCAGTGAAAGGGTTACACAGTATGTTGTAAATTCTTCCTACAATGAAAGTGGGAGATGTGTTGTATTTGTTAACTGTTTTCAGTAATTGTAAACCATTTTGCGTTAGTTTACTATCATGGTTTAAATTTTCAGAAAATGAATCCAATAAAGATGAAGAACATAAAGTCATAGAGACACAGCATCGCTGGAGTAGTCTGGCCGCATTACTGCAAGAGCGAAAGGAACAGATAGATTTTCTGAAGGAAAAGGAACTATTATACAGTGAAGTAAGGAGTTTAAATTTGATTTTGGAAAACTACCAGAAATGGTTGGAAGGAACAAAATGTTCTCCCTCAAGGCAATTAAATGTTGTACAGCAACTTGAACACTGTAGAATGAAGATCAAATCAATGAAGTCACATGAAGACAGCATCAATAAGATGAAGAAACGGACAGCAGACTTGTCATTGTGTCAACTGGCCAAAAGTGATGCTGACAGTATTAATGCTGATGTGAATTACTTCTTGGAGAGATGGGGAGAACTGATGCTCAGGTGTGTGCTGCTATTAGATTTAAGTCTATACTCTACACTATTACAGTTACTGTAACAATTACAATTAATTATTCTTGATTAAATTAACCTGCCCAGGACAGGGCCCGGTGGAGGGCTTTGGGTAATTCAGTGATGAACCTTCGGGTTCCTTAAGCCATCTAGTTAGTTTGGTTAAATTAACCCTCTGTTTCAGTGTCAAACATTTACTAACATATTATGTACTGTAAATTAAATATTTTGTACTATAAAAATATACAACATACAAAAACATTTTACTGCAGTATTCTAGCTGTGATAGTTTCATATATAATTTTCTCAATCCTACTGTAATGACATTACTAGTTAAATCTCAGTGTTAAACTGTAGCCAGCACTCTAGTAGTATGGTTGTGTAAATACACGGTTCCTGTACTGTAAATGTTAACTTTGATAAATCTTAACATGGCGAATTTACTCTATACAACACAGTATGATTTTATCAATATTTTGTTAGACATGATCCATTCTCTGATGTACACAGTGTTCAGGAATTGATTCTACTCCTGTCTTCCTTTGATTAGTTATCGTTATACTGACACACTTGTTTTCTGTATTAGATGTGACAGTTGGGATCAAACCCAGGATCTTTTGAATACTGGGCTGGTATGCTAGCCCCTCAACCATGTAGTTGGTCTTTTGGTCCAGGAGTGATTGTTGTTGTAATTGCACACAGAGTTATTTCTTGCCATATAGTACAAAGAGCCACATGAAACTTTCACCTGTATTTGATTGGCTGATTGTTCTGATGAATACTAACTCATTTCATTGGGATCCCATTTTCTTCTTTTTGTTCTTCATTCTAACATGCATGTGCATATGTGCACATATACATTTAACCACAGCATACATACTAGAATATGTATTATTCTGTATTAGACTCTGTTTTCCATGGTCCTCATTCTGGGATGTTTTGCTAATTTAAATTTGAATATTTGTTGCATTATGTTTAGTGATTGTGGGTTGAATTTGTTTTCCTTTCTCTTCTATATATTTCCTTCTACACTTACATAGAAAGCTATATATGTAGTTTTTTGATTCCTGTGTCTTATTTTTTATTTAGTCTTTTTTGAGGATGCTGCATCACATTTTTCAATGATCTGAATGCTATTTGTACTTCAAATTGTTTTCCTGATTGTGTGAATTATTTCTATTCTGACCTGGATATCTGGTATGATCTTGGTCCCTTTAATGGCTATATGGTTGGCGGGGTTCTATTTCTGACCGTTGCTAAGGTATAATTCTTTTTTCATTCACACTATCTTTATTTGCTCTGTTTTTGTGCATTTGAATATTTCTTGCCTTGAACTATGTGTGCAAATTTAGGTGTACCAGAATGGTACCCAGCATTGGTGGGTTTCCTATATATACTTGTCTTGATAATATTACTTCTGTACATTAGTACAATGAGGAAAGGGGGGGGGGTGTTTGAGTTTTATTTATTTCTATGGCAAGAAAAGAAATGGGTTAAATTTTATGTGAATTTTGCTGTGTGGAGATCTTGCTGTGTTTGGTAATGTATTGTGACAGTTTTTGTATTAATATACTTGTACTTCATTTGTTATAGGTTGGCTGAAAAACAGACTGAATTGAGTAATGCAGTGGACAAATCTCCACCCCAAAAATACTTAGAAGCCATGGAAGCGCTTATGAAGTGGGTTCATAATGTGGAAGGAGTATTGCTTTCTGAACATGCTGTAGTGGCAGATACAGTTGTCATGGAGGACCAGTTGCAGAAGTTCAAAGTAAGTCATCTAAGTAACTGTAATAGTATGCATTTGTTACATGTTCCATATTTGTTAACTGGTCAACTTGAACAAGAAAACTGCTTATATGTTTAAATGTATTTTATATATTGGTATCAGTTATCCACTACAAGTTTGTGTTTTTTCTGGAGTTAAAAATATGTATTTCACAGAGAATCCTGTCAAGGCTTACTAATAAGCACAGATACTATGACACTTGCTTTAGCCAGTCAGCAGGACTTCTGTTTGATTATGCTCATCATCATCATTGCACAGTGATTGCACACATTTACTTATTTAATTTTGAATGTTTCTATTAGATTGCTATAAAATGCATTGAAATTCTAAGAGCATAAGGAAGAGCTAAGTTGTTGTTATTCATGTTCTTCTTTGACTGAACGCAATCTAAACTTATATAATGTCTCACAACAAACACACATGCAATTTTAATTATTTCTGTGAAAAAAGAACACATTTACATAAGAAACCATTTTGTAGTAATTTATTACCCCAAGATTTGATAAAAGTTTTGAAATATTATTTCATAAAAGGGTCATCTGTTTGTTTTAAGACTTAGGTGGTTTGGTAAAAGGCAATAAGCAAAATTAATATAGAATAGTTAAAAAGGTTGTGGTTTATTCAATTTCAAGTGTACAAGGAATAGTTCTCTGTAATGCTGTCATACTATTGTTTTGCTACAGCATACAAATTATATAAATATTATTTAGTAGGATTTTAGGTTTTTACAGTAGTGAGTGTGAAGATGGCTGTCTTCTGGGTTGTAGCACCATATAATCTGGTAGAAGTTTACTAATGTAAGATTTTAGGTTTTCACAGCGGTGTGTATGAAGATATCTGTCTTCTGGGTTGTTGCGCTGTGTAGTCTGGTAGATGTCCACCAACATTCCAGAGGTCATACTGCCTCCATCATCAGGGCGATTGGTAAACTTCTACAAGAATACATGGCTGCTACAACCCAGAAGACTGACATCTTTAAACATTATTTTACCTGTATTGATTGTTCAGGAGCTCCAGAAGACAATTGAAGAGCAGCAAAACAGTTTTCATTATGTCAACATTACTGGCCAAGAACTGATACACAGAGCAGGTTCAGAGACTCAGAGCCAGCGGCTAAAAGATGAACTACAAGATCTCAACACTCGTTGGAGTGATATTCCAATAATCCTTGATGAAAGACAGAAGAAACTGCAGAAAGGTAGCTGTTTTTTTTATAGATGGTTGTTGATTCTTTATGAATAGTTGAGTATTGCTGTGTAAAAAAATCAATAAATTCTGTACTGTTATTTGCCATACCATTTTAAAAATTTTATGAAATTACATACATTTATGTGTAAATGAATGTGGCTATTTAAAGCACATTTATTTTGTGCTACTCTTCTTTGTTATTCAGCATGAAACTGGTTGAGATTTGATACTCTTTGGATTCTCCATTTCTGAAAAGGGGGGGGGGATAATTTGGCCATTAATTCTTGCAGTAGTTGCAGTTGCATGTATAAAATGTAAGGAACTTAACTAATGAAAAAGTACACATAATTATTGAAATTTTGAGATTTTTGATGAATTAAATTATATTTAAAATTATTCATTATCAGGACTTTTTCCATCGTCTTTTCTTAAAAAAATAAACCCATGACATGTGGTATGTTATGTGACAAATTTTAATGTGCTCATGAAGAGGAGCAGGATGATTGTGAATTTTCAGGGGTTGTTTTAATACGTTATACTGCAAATTATAGTCTGTTCATTCTTCAGTTCTAACATAAACCAGTTCATATCCTTCCAGACTGCCATATGATTTTCGGTGCTAACACATTTTTCATCCTGCCAAGTACAGGATGACCCATTTAATTTAAAAGACTTTATGAAATAGCATAAACCTTAAAATTTTTAGCAATTTTATCAAGAATTACCGAACTATTACAACACATTTATAGTCATTTACTCATATACTTGTCACTATTTACTTAATCTGCCAGGCAGGGGATGGATTCCTTCCATGTTTGAATCCATGCCAGAACACAGAGATTTTTTTGTCACTACTTGTTTCTGCATTGTCTGTGTTGATAACAAACCAGTCAATGATGGTATGAAAAGCCAATGAAGCTCACACATTGTTTCTTTCTGCATCCTTAATGATGTGGTTAGAAGCAAAGTTCCATCTATGGGGTGTAATTTGTGATAATTCAGAAGTCTGAGTGTTTTCTTGTGCCCCACAGTGTTTGTATCCTTCATCTGGCTTCTTAACAATCCTATCAGTTTCAAATTGCAGTGATATAGTGGTAGTCTTGCATTCACATGGTCTGCTGTGTTGGTAGGATCATCTATAATCCCCTTTAATCTTTCTCACAAGTTAAATTTTCACAGCATTTCTGTTGAACGAAATGTTTTCTCAGTTAATCAGTGACTCAAACTGTTAAGTTTTATTTGGAGTAAAATTGGGTTTAACACTGTGATAGGGGGAAATCAACTGCTTTCTCATAGGAACAGACTGTAATGTAATGTTACTGGAAAGTAATTGGTGTAGTTGTTAATAGCATCTTAATTTAATTATAATGGAGTATGTCTGTATTATTTAATTCATACATAATTGTCCTTTATGCAGAGACTCAAAACATACTAACATATGGATATTGAAATGAAGTACTATTTCTTTACATCATAACAGATATACATATATGTACATGTATAACTTGACAGGCAACTGCCCAGTGAGAATGTTTGCCAACCACTTATGTTTGTTTATACTAAGACTGAAGTAAGAATGAATAAATAATACCTAGTTCGACTAAACATTTGGTGCTCAGTCATATTATCCAGTCCCCTGACTTGTATTCAAAGTAGGAAACGTGTGTGTTAAATGCTATATGGCACTGTTTACTGTGATTGTAAAAGTATATATTTTGCTAAACCATATGAAGCTGTTTTGACAGGAATGACATATATTTTGAGAAACAGTATTTTTGTTTAGACATTGAATTGCTGCGCCAGTTTCGAGATGAGATGGAAGGCTTGAACTCATGGCTACAAGAAGTAGAAGCTTTCTTGCAGGCTGAGAAAGATGTGCCAGTTGGTGACATAGAGACTCTGGAAGCACAGCTGGAGCAATCAAATGTAAGTAGCCTTTTTATATTTTTAAATGTTGGTATATTTCTTTGGGAGAATAGAGGCATAAAGGGGGTAATTATATTGATATTGATTTCTTTAAATGACTTCTGCTTTGAAGTGACTCAGAATAAATAACTGGATTTTGTGATCACAGTGGTGAGTATTTAACTCTCATAAGAATATTCAAATTTATGATCAGCTGAACAAGTTTCTGTTTCTGAAGGAAGAGGCTGTATTACAGAGAGAAGAATGTTGGTGATTTCTATCCAGGCCCCTTCTCCATTAATTATTGTAGCTGTGAATTTTATAACTGAATAGTAAGACAAATACAGAAAATACAGTGGAGTCTTTATAAATTTTATACAGGCTCTCCAAGATGACATTGAAACACTGCAGCCAAATGTTAACAACATAGAGAGTACATCACAGAAACTGCTGAATAATGCTGACCCAAACTTTGCAGCAGAGCTACAATTACAAGTTGAGATACTGGTTGGGAAGTGGAAGAAGGTGGTAGAAGGAGCAAAGGAGCAAAACATTTGTTTGAAGGATGCTTTAGAGAGAAGTAAGATGGTAAGTTGGATATTCCCACACCTATTATAATGCTGTTAACAGTTGCACTTCTAAAAATTTCACCTTGTGATAGTGAGTGACAACATTACCACTGATTACCACATTTCATAGGGAAATAGAGATGGAAGCATATGTCTTTGTGCGTGTGATTGTAAACTTTCAATTAAATTGAGAGATTTGCACCCTGAACATACATATTACTGTACTTCATGTTCCATGTAAAAAACAAATATTTGAACATATATCCAGATCTATGTTATAACATATTTTGTAAAACATGTTAAATATTTTCACGTGTTTGTGATGTATTTCCATTAACAAAACATATTAATTTGTTTTCATGTACTTGGATAATAAGAAGTATTAATATGCTCACATCTTGCTAGCCTTTCCATATCACTTCTGTTGAGACACCTCCATCCTAGCTCATATATAACTCCATTTCAGTTTTAGTGTCTAATTACCAAAGTTCCCCTGTCATTATTGTATGATTCTGACTGACAGTTGTACAGTTGTTGATACCTCTTGTGTGAAGGTCATCATAAGTCCATAGAAGAGAAAAGATTTTCCTCTTAAAGTTTATTGCTAACCACTTCTACTCTCCTAGTGAGATTTTTCACTGTCACATGCGTAGCCAGTCATGTCATTAAGTTTATAAATCTTTATAACAAAGCATTCATGTTTCTTAGGAATGTATTACACAATGAACTGTGTAAATTTACACCAATTTTTAAATTTATGAACATTATTTTCACTACAATTAAGAACCAGCATTTGTGTAAGGGCTAAGCATTTGAACAAAGACAACTGTTTGTTCTTTATTTACATAAGTTCTGATGTTCATACTGTAACAACAGTAAAAATATTTGATTTAACAATGCTTTACAGGGCTGAATACTATCAAAAAGAAGTAATGCTGTTCTAATATTTGTAACTGTATAGTAGTCTAATACACACACATACACACACACACACACACACACACACACACATACAAAAATATTTAGTGATTTTCCAGGAGTGATGAACCAGTCCGAATTTGTCTTTACATTGAAATTAATGAGAATTTTAGTTTTTGATATATGAATTTTCACCTTACAACAGTTCTTATTAAATGAATTATGTTCATAAATCAACAGATATGTTTACTTGAATATAACTCACCTTTTGAACAGCCCAATGTTGAATGTTGATGGGTTGTAAAATTTGACATGGGTGTCACTGAATGTTTTAAAGAGAGATCTTATTTTAAAAGTGTCATTTATAGTTTTGTTAGTTTTGTCTGGTTGATTCATATTATCATAAGAATATAAATATCTTAATACATGTAAAAATGATCATATGTCATGACCTTCATGTGGTGGGTAGTGATAATAAATCACAGTTGGAAAATGTAACAGAATGCTATGTCAAGCAGTGAAACAGTTTGTAGTGTTGTGTCTGCTATATCATGGTTGTAAATAAAGGGCTATGTTAGCATTATGCTAAGGTAATGCATATACAGCTGGAACACACTTAACAGTGTGACATACAGATGATGAAGTTTAATGTTGTGTGTATGTGTGTATATAAACATATATTGCAGGTAATTGAACAGGTGGAGGAGTTCACGTCCTGGTTATGCAAACTGGAGACTGAAGTACCAGACACTAGTAGCGTCACATCCTCAGCAGAGCTATTCCAGCTGAAGGGTAAATACCAGACACTCAAGGATAAAGTAGACAAGAGGACAGAAGAATTCAGAAATCTCAATGAGAAGGGTTAGTTGTCTTATTTATAATTTACAATAATTTTACTTTGTAACACAAACAAGATTAATTACACTTTTATACTTTTCTGAAGGAGTTAGTAATATAATGCTGTGTAATACTGATGAAGAAAACGGTTTTCCTTTTACTTTTCAAAAGTATATGTACAGATTTTAAAATCAAATTGTTTTGTGGAAACTGTGTTCTCTAATATTATTAGTTAAGAAAGTTTCAGTAATGTATTGATTGCTGTCAACTGGTGATGCTAATTTGAGAAAATGCAACACAACCATCAAAGTATTGTCCTTGGTTGACTACACATTTTTGCCATTGGCTGTACAGTTCTTGGAAGCACTGCATGAAATCATTTTCTAAAATGTTCTTGAGAGCAGCTGTTGTGTCTTTACCTCATCCATTTCACTGAAATGTCATTCCTCAGCTGAGATTTCATAACCCCGATAAGGTGAAAGGCTGTCGGCAAGAGGTCTGTTGAGTAGAGAGTGTGGCAGAACTGTCACCTTAATATCCCCAATGTTGACATTTTGACTACTGACTACAAAAATGCCAGACTGACATAAAAATTAAGCACATTATTCTTCAGCACTGTCTAGCGGACATACTTGTGAAGCATGTGTCATATGCAGCACATTACATGTTTCCCAGTGATGCTTCTTCATATAAAAAATTACTAGTTTCTCATTTCAGTGCCCATGACTGCTGCAGTAACTTTATTATTGGAACTTATTGAACTGGCATCATAATTCTGTTATATGTACAGCTTTTTTTATTTCTCCTTGTTTTTGTGTTTCACAGGAAATGATCTGTTGCTGAGCAGTGAAGGAAACTCAGTTCAGAATGTTGCAAGAAAGTTCACACATCTAAATGCCAAATGGAGTGATGTAACAGATGGAATCTACAATAAGTTTAAGATCCTTAAAGAAGCTTCACATGAATATGGTGAATTTAGAGGTAAGTGTAGAAATTGCCGTTGTAAGTGATTGTGCATACCTAACTCAGTGCCTGAGGGAATCAGCTATTTCTTACATTCCAAGTTAATGTGGTCATTTTGCTTACTGAAATAGTTTGATTTAGAACAGTTATTCATTATTTTTTAAGAAAGTAGTGAAAATAAAAATAACGTGATCACGTATTTTAGTATATGCATACTCACTATGTTTCCATTCAGTGTGCATAAATGTTACTTGTGTTATTTAATAGTCAGATATTGTATAATTACCAGGTGACTTTATGTTATATTGTATGTCAGGCAAGAGTTTGTAGTTTCTTTTCAGCTATCATCTGTTTTTGTTTTTTGAAATTTCTGTAATTGAATAAAATATGAGAATTTTCTTTGTTCAGCCTTGGTTGCCCAAGAAATGGATTGGTTGGACAAACTAGAGAAGCGATTAAGGAAATCACCGAAGTCTGCTGCAGATGCTGAAGAAATTTCAGATGAACTTGATGTAAGTATAACTTTTTACTTGACATTTCCTTCTGTAATGCATTATTTAATTCCCCTTACACTTAGTCAGATGACCAGATATAAGATGGCTGTCTTCTAGGTTGTTGCACCATGTAGTCTGGTATACGTTTACCAGTGATCATTGTCCTGATGATGGAGGCAGCAAGGACCTCTGAAATGTTGGTAAACTTCTACCAGACTACATGGCACAACCACCCAGAAGACAGCCATCTTTGGATTTGTCACCATGGGAACCTCAAATGTTACATATTCAGACATGTCTGTAACAGTGAATTTGAAATTTACCTTTTGGGGATAATGCATGTAGACCGTTTATTGTGAAGATGATGAGTGCAGGCATTAACACATTTTTTTTCCTCGTAACTGAATGAATAGGAGTATGGTAGTGTTAAGGGGAGAGTCTACTTTAGGGTAATTTTCTTGTATTTATGTGGAAATACTAAGGAGAACCACAAAAAACCTTGGTCAGAATAACTGAGTTTGGAACCTTCGAGAAGACTCCATATTTGCAGCTATGTTTTGCATGCTATGTGGCAGTGACTTTCTGAACAGGCTTATATTCATTTTCACATCTCTTGTTGAAATTTATGGATCAGAGTGAGTTTTGAGGAAATGGTCTTTCAGGATTGCTTGCAAGGTTATAATTTTTATTTCAGTCTTCTGTACATCTCCTTGATGAGTAAACAGATTAAAGGACAAACAATTTATATAGTGTTGTGTTTGAAGATTATGGAATCCCCTGCAAATGATCAGTCTTTTGGCTTATATCTTAAAAAGTGTCATTCCTGGATCGCTTTCAAAGTCATTATAGCTACATTTATGTTTTGTGAAAGTAAATAATTTAGTATATGGATAATGTAAAATTCTTTTGAAGGACCTTGAAAACTACATTCGGAATCATCCAGAAGCTCGCCTGGCCAAGATCCAGGATATTGGACGTCATTTTGTGGATGATGGCATCATGTCACAGACAGTGAAATCAGATGTGGAGGCTATTACATCAAGGTGGAGTCATCTGAGTCAGCAGGTAGGAATAGGGAATTCATTAATTGCTTCTTAAGTCAGCATGATGAGATGAAAGTCTGAACTAATGTGTAATAATGTGATTGCTCTGTATTAATCTGCTTACCAGTTTGTTTTGACTATTGTACTTGTAAGTTGCCCTTGGCAGACCAGTGGTTAGTGTGCTCACCACTGGGCCCAAGGTTTGCGGGTTCAAACCCAGCCGAGGTTGATGTATTTTTAAGGGTAATAAAAATCCGTAGCATGACTTCCTTCAGAGGGGAAGTAAAGCTGGCGGTCCCATGTCTTAGATTTATGGCATATAAAAGAACCTTATGAGCATGAACAATATGTTTTGTAAGCAAAATTCAGTGGCCATTTCTCACCCGTATCTCTGTTTTTGGAGTTGCAGCCATTTGTACTGTGATCTGCTCATTGAAAAAAGCAATTTTGGTCATGGTACTGTCCTTTCATGTTTAGTTTCCAAGCACCATCACCAGGACTCAAACTCAGGACTGAGTTTTGACTTTTCTAAAATATCTTCTTGGTTTCAAGGAAGAAACACTTCAAATTTGTTATGAATTATAATATATTTTCTTGAATCATAAGCAAACACACACAACTCCACAATTGAAATTAAGATTATCAACCCTATGAAGGTTATTTTTTACCAAAAGATCACATGGGCATGATATTGTCATGCATTCAGTGTCTTGTCAGTGACGTCTGAATGTGAGCTAGATGAAACACAAAATGTTGCCACAACAAATAATACTTCATTCATTGTTTGTAGTTGCGTGATGTTTGTAGCAGATAGGACAGTGAATGTGTGTGGGGGGAGTTAGACTAGAGTGGTCACTATTAAAAGTTTTGAATACAGATGCTGACCTGTATCATGTGTTCATTTTCTACTGCATATAATGTTTATAGTTTGCCAGAGGTGAGGAGACAAGGCATTGGGTGTGTTTGGAAGGGGCGGGGGGAGTAGACCAGGCCACTGTTGGAAGTTTGAATACTGGAACCGACCTACATCGTATGTTTACAGAAATTGACATATGTATTGAAGTTATGTTAATTGTAACTTGAGGAACGAAATAGAGAACAGCTAATTTTGAAGACTGTCTCTGATGAAGTAATCTCATTTGACAGTGAAATTGAACCAGCCTGATGTGGCAGTATGGCAGCTGGTAATAAGAATAATGCAATTAAAATAAAATTTGGCCAATACCATGACATCCATTGAATTCTGTTGGAGTGCATCATTTTGTTGAAGGTCTCGGTTACTGGAAGATATAAGTGGTGCTCTGTGTGAACAAAGGTTCCTAAGCTTTAAGGGTTGAAAGGGATGTGTGTCCCATTAATTTGTGTGTGTGGTTGGTTGAATAGGACTATATGGTACTGTTGTGTCATGATATTGTTATAATGTTTATATATTCAGACAAATAGCACTATGTATGTCCAAAATGCTTCTAAGGCTTAACAGTATGTCAAAAATTAATTTGCAACATAATCATCCACTTTAAGAAAAGGATTCTCAAACTAACATTCACTTGAAATTTGCAAACAATTTGGAATATTTAAAAGAATTTTTTATGAAGGTTTTTCTTTTGTTTTCCTACAGAATGTCAAAATCAGACGAAACAATCTAAAGGCAGTTTAAAATGCTTCTGTTTATATCATTATGACTCTGTGTATATATTTGAGGGAATGCTCTACCTAAAATACCCATGAGTTTATGAGATTGTCATTTTTTATTGGGAAAAAATTGAACACTTTTTGAGGAATATAATAATTCATTCACCGTCCATACACAAACTTAAAATGTTGTTAAAATTTACTTAAAATTACATAAAATTACAACATTTTTTAGAATTAGATCTTGATACATTTCACATTTGACGACATGTTTCGGTGTATTACACCATCATCAGGTCA